TTTGATTTTAAGCGCAAAATAAGGAAGAAAAGGATATTGTGTTTGTTGTATTTCTGTATTGAATTTTTTGTTTTGTTATTTATGGAGGAACTTCAATCAGATTGATTGACTTTTGTATGTTACTTTTGGCATTTGAACTGAAAGACTTTGTGGTGTGTTCGTAGTAGTAGTAGTAGTAGTTGGGCTAAGGGGCGGTTAACTTCCCTAAACGTAAAGCTAAAGCCAAAATATAAAAAAAAAACTCATAAAAACAGAAAAAGTTTTGACATCATCCTTGGTTGGTATGAAAAGATGAATTTATAAAAAAAATGTATATATAAAAACAACAAGAAGAAAAACTGGCAATACTTAAGATTGTGACTATTTGTCAGATTGTTTTTCGACGTCGTTGTCTTCTTGTTGTTTTAAGAGATGATGAAGAATTACTCAAGTGCCAGCCAAATATACAATAACATAAAAAACCAAAACATATTCACACTTACATGTGAACACACATACATATGTATGTATATGCTATATGAATACAATTAAATCAGACGCCTACGTTGTACGATGATGTTGGTGATGATGATGATGCCACAATGGATTAAAAACGAGCCTATAGGCTTTTACGTTTACACACAAACGTATTTATTTATATCACTTAAATGTCCCTGCAGTTCTGAAAAACTGTAATTATTTTAAATACCAGTAACTCTTGGTTCCAAAAATGGCTATTAGCTAGTTCATTTCGCATTATGTTATTATTATTCAGTTTTTTAAATCATTATTTTCAAAGCGACTACTCTATAGATTACTAGGCGACACTAAAGTGGTGATTAACTAGCTTTTTGCCAAAGTTGGGGAGACTAAACTAACAAAGGACTTTCTGTTAAATATACGAAAAACTTTAAACTCGTGTTAAGCAAGAATTAAGACATTTGGGATACATTGACACCCAGCAAAACTGTTGGGCTTAATGTATGTATATTTGCATACTCACAACATATACAAGTGCATGAATTTACATATATACATATACAATTATATTTACAACATCGTCATGGTGGTTCTGGTTGTTGTTGGAGATGTGTGTAGTCAACAACATTTGAAACAAACACGTGCACTTAAACTGACACGCGCAGGTGTTTGGACCAAGATGTATTTGGTACATTGATATATGTACTACTTTCCCTACGTTTTGTATCGACGTTAAACAGAAAAGTTATTTCAAATTTTAACAAATAGGACACATTTTTAAATAAAAAAGCTTTATTTAATAAGCTTCGAAAAAGCTGTTGTAATATCAAAGTTAATTAGCAAAAAAGCTCAATTGGAAGAGAGAAAATAATGTAAATATTACGAAAAAAAACTTCATCCAAGTGGAAACTCAAAACTAGCACCAAGTTTGTTCTGATTTTCTTATATTTTAAACTTTTGAAATCCTAATTTCATGAACTTCGAAAAAGCTTTCCAAAACTTTATCTCATGAACAAATCACTCAAGAAAAGCTCAATTGTTGTGGTCAAATTAAATAGTTTTCTTCGGTAAAAACTTCAACATAAAAAGAAAAATTTTTTAAATAAAAAAGCTTGATTTAATGAGCTTTAAAAAAAGCTCTAAGTAAAGGTTAATTAGCAAAGAAAAAAACAAAAGATAAAAACAAAAAATCTAACTTAAACCTAAACTTTGCCCAAGTGAAAACTCAAAACTAGCATCAAGTTTGTTCAGATTTTTTTATATTTTAAACTTTTGAAATCTTAATTTCATGAACTTCGAAAAAGCTTTCTAAAACTTTATCTCACGGACAAGCTCAATTCTTGTGATGAAATTAAAACGTTTTCTTCAACATAAACTACTTGCAAGTGAAAGCTCATTTTTGGCATCAGATTTGTTCTGATTTTGTCTCGGATTTTTGCTTATATCTCCGTTATTTATGAACGAATTTTGCTGGTTTTAAATAGGAAAATTCTCGAAAGCATGTCTGACAGAATTATTGAAGATTTGGATCCTGAAGATATCTGGGTTCTTTAGAAAATTGATTTCAACAGACACACAGACGGACAGACAGACAGACAGACAGACAAACAGACAGACGGACATGGTTTAATCGACTTCGCTATCTATAAGGATTCAGAATATTTATACTTTATAGGGTCGGAAAACTATATTCTGGAAATTACAAATGGAATGACAAAATTATATATACCCTTCTCACGAATGTGAAGGGTATAAAATAAACTCAATCTTAGAAATTTCTGCTCAAAATCATTTTCTGCGTAGATTTAGCTATGTCCGTCCGTCCGTCCGTCTATCTGTCCATGTAAAGCTTGTGCACACGCTGTAGGTCGCAATTTTCAATATAATTTGGTGAAATTTGGCTTTTAAAAATCGGTCCATTGTTTGGCCTAGCCCCCATACAACTGACCTACCTCATAACTATGTTAAATGTTCTAGTATGTCAAGAAAAATCGACTCAGTTTTATAAAAGTTCGACCATATTTAAAAGCACTTATACGCCCAACCTCGTCGAAACTAGTATCTGCGAATATATTCACAAGGCTTATTTTTATATACATATATGAATAAATATATGTATATGAAGCACTTATTGTCTACGAATGAATGAATCTATTTTTTGCGCTCCTTGCAACGAAGATAAATGTAGAAGAAAAACGCTGCAAGTAGTATTCATCATATTCACACATTCATTTAGATAGAAGTTTATATGAATGTATGTATGTATGTATGTAGGTATATGTATGTATATTTTTTGTCCATGCATTTTTGTTTATTTATTTGTTATGTTATATATGTGTGATATTGAGGTCATTGTTTATGCTAGAGAATACAAAACAATTTGAAACTCTTTCATAAAAATTAAATTCTTTTTCTTTCTTCTTTTAAAAATTCTTTTATTCATAAAAATCACAAGAAAAGTAAGAAATAGACGAAAGAATATACATATAAAAAAACACATTTGAAAAAATGTTGAAAGAAATCCAACAAAAGAGCCGTTTGACAGAATGACTCTATACATATATCAAACGAAAGGTGTCGAATAATTGCGATTTTTTGTTTGTCTGGTTAAGTATATTTTCGCTCTTTTGGTTTTTAATTAAATAAATTATGATTAGTTTTATGATTAAAAAAAGGTGCACCGATCCTTATTAAAGCTTGTAAGGTAAAGAGAATGTAATGTGATGGGAGCTTTTTAGAATGAGTGTTTCTTTTAGATCTTTTATGAATTATGGACTTGTCTGAGTTTTTTCTTAATAAAAATGTATATTTTAAAGTTTTTTATTACATTTCATTTGTAGTGGCTTTTCAAAATAGACTGAAAAAGTTATTAAAGAACAATTTTTTATATTGGTAAAAAACTTGTTCTTTTTTGTGCCAATAATAGACAGGCCAACATATAGATAGACAGACGGATCATCGGACAGACAGACAGACATATAAGCAGATGGTCATATGTACATAAATGACAAAGTATTATTCGTTATTGTAAACCCAGTGATCCGAAGTTGCGATATTTCAAAATTAGAATACCTACACTGAAAACAATCTATGTCTAAAATATATGAAAAATATCGCACATTGTATGAATGCTTCGTTGAAAAGGGTTTGATTTACGATATTTCATATTATACATGAAATTTTCATAAGTATTACGAAAAAAGTGGTTACGAAAATGTTTTTCCTCCTCAACAGATAAGAAAAGATGGACAATTTATGCATTTGAACAATATCAATGCATTTTTTGTCCTTCCTTCCATATCCTATCATGCTATCAGTAGATAGACAAACATATGGATGAATGGATGAAAAAACGGTAGCTTAGACAGATGGCCCGACGAACACACGGCGAAAGTATAGCAATACAAGTTTAGAGTTTCCTGATGAAAATAAATTTAGCTTTTATCATCGCGTAAAGATCGATGTGAAATGAGTTATCCAGCTTAGACAAAAATGTTTCCGTTATCATGTTTATTGGGATCATTCCCTTGTAGTATAAATGAAAATCAATATTTTACAATTATATAAATTAAAATAGAATTCCCAGTAGTAAAGTTAAGTCAACCATTAAAATTTTTGCAAAATAATAATGCACAATAAAACTCAAGGTCATTAAAAAGGGATAGAGAATTTAAATTGAGAATAATTCAATTTTTCAAAACAGATTTCATTTACATAAAGAAACCTATTTACTTTAGTTGTTACTCAGGTTTAACTTCCACCATAAAAGACGAAATGATTCAGTTCCTTTTTAGCTCTTTAACAAGGTTGCTAAATATATATTTAATTGAGATAAAACTTACAATTTTAACAGTTAATCAACATAAATCATATTATTTAGTTTTGAAATATTTATTTTGTTTTTTGCAACAAATCACACACATACAAAAGTTTTCAACACTGATTCCTTTGTTTTAGATAACAAATGCATGTGGTGATGTGTGTGTCTGGTTGAATATGTAAACTTGTTTGGGTATTTGCATTTGTATTGATGTTGAATAAAACAGTGTGTGAGCCTTTTTACAATTTTATTTTTATTTAAATTGAATCAGAACAACAAAGAGTTGTCCTATAAAAAAAAAAGAGTGACGCATAAAAATACCAGTAACCTAGTGCCAAAAACAGATAAAAATATGAAATAAAATTTTGTAAATGGAAATTGTAAAACAAAAACAAAATATTTATTTTAAACTAAAAACATAGAAATACAATTTGAAATTGTGCAATAAATGCTTTTAAACACTCCAACCATAAATCAAATTTTTCTCTTTTAGCAAAAAACAAAGCGTTTGAATAAACACATATACACTCACTCACTCACTCACATGGAAATTTTATATCACTATAAATTTGTATTTAACTACATCATGTACGTATTCGCTGTATGATAGAAATTTATGGAGTTGACCTTTTTTTTGTGTCTTGTTGTTCTTTGAATTTTAAATCATTATTTTACTGGTTGGTTGGTTAGGTCGTTGGAAAAAATCCCCTGTTGCACTTACCTCATTTGGTTTGTTGAGCAAACACAAGCCATGACCCGTACGCAATGCATCGATATAATCCTTTTTACTGCATTCAGAGAATTTATAAGGCTGTACATTCTCTTGGCCAACAATGGATTGAGCCATTATGCAACCATGCCAATCACGACAGAAACATTCCTCACCTATATTTAAATGAGGAGGACAAGAAAATGTCATGAAATTATTATTATTATAAAAAAGTTAAAGAAATTATGTAAAAAGTATAAAAAGTAAAACAGAAAATTAATTGAAATTTTATAAAATAATTACAAAATATGAGCCATTATTTCTGTCATCGTCATCATCATCATCAATGCCAAGCAGCCAAGTCAACACAACAACAATAAACCAATTCATTTCAGTTAAATTGAATCAGGTCTTGAGTTCAGTGCAGTTACAGCAACTGAAACAGTGGCATAACGAGTGACAACAACAACAACAACAACAGCCATAATGATCCATAAATAAGTAATTTCAAATTCAATAACAACAAATTTTGTCAGAAACCAATCAGTTACGCAACAACAATTAAACTTACGTCCATCATCGTGGCCCATGCCAATATTGTGGCCAATCATGTGGGCCATTGTACCGGCCAATAAATGAGGTTCATAGACATTTATGTCTACACTGATGCCAACAGCACGTGGCGTACACACGGTATCTGGTACAGCCATACCAGCCTCACCACCGGCAAATGTTTCACCTCTGTAAGTACAAAATAATGGGAAAAATCAAAAATCATTATTAAATTTGTTGACGACAATGTTTTGTTGCTGTTTATGTGTATGTACGTTTTAATGATAATTATTATTAATTTGTGTTTTGTATGAATTCTGTATTATGTTTTCTCTGTTTAATTTATTAGCTGACAATACTCATGATAATTTTAGTTAGTTATTATGCAAAAGTTTGTTTGACGTGATTTGAATTTGAGATTTTGAGGCTATGATAAGGAGTTTTGTTGTAGTAAATTGTTTGTGAAAGTAATTTATTGAATTATGTAGGTATAAACGAATTAAAAATATTGTTTAGTATTTAAATTACTTTAAAATGTATTCGTAGCGTATACTTCATATTTCATAAATAAAAATAAATCATACGTACTGTTGTTCAAACAAAGAATCCAGTTGTTATTCATAATTTAGAATTGTATTAACGGTTTATAGAAACAATTTTGTTATAAAATTTGTTTTTAAAAACCATTAATAAATGTTATATGTACACCAGAACGTATGATTTATTGCAATAAAATAATTAATTAAATAGTACTCATACGCTCTTATTATGAAAATATCTAAAATTTTTATGAGTATAGAAAGTTCTCTAAATAGCATTTCTTATAAAAATTAAAAACTAAAACGAAACGTTGAGAATTTATATAGACAATTTTGCTAAACAATTTGAAATATGGGTAATTTCGTGTCAAGTGACCCAACTTTTAAAATCGATGTCTTCAGATTTGGATGAAATGAAAGGTTAGTACTATTGGATAGTAGGCCAGACACAAATTTTTAGCCCTATCGGTACAGAACTGTCGGGACATGAGAAAAAAGCTGTTTTTTTTAAATTATTAATATTTTACTTAAACTAATTTTTTTTTTTTGAAACAAAGAAGAAATAGCTATCCGAACTCCTCTAGGAGCAATAAGTGAAAAGTTACACTCATTTGAATAAAACCCTATATGACCAAAATGTCTAACTTTGACCCCCTATAAGTCTGACAGTTCTGGACGGATAGAGCAAAAAATTTATGTCTGGCCTACTATCCAATAGTACTAACTTTGGTGCAAATTTCATCAAATTTCATCAAATTATATTTTCTATATAAAAATAATTCATACGTACTGGTGTCCAAACAAATAATCCAGGTCCTATTCATAATTTTATCAAATGTTTATAGAAAATTTAGCTATAAAATTTAGTTTAAAATAGCATCAATGAAATAAATGTCATATCAACACCGATATGTATGATTTATTGTAATTAAATAATTAATTAAATAGCACTCATACGCTCTGGTTATATAAACAGCAACAGTTTTCGTGAGTATAGGACCCCTTTTTTAGTAGTTTTTCTTATAATCCCTTTATTTTTTGGTAAAGGATAAAAAAATCTATCTAAAAATCTAAATTAATATTTAAATGTCAAATTCAAAATATTAAAAATTACTCAAACTTTATCACATTTATTTCAATCCATTCATTGTTTAACTGCCAAACTCTTATAAGAATATTAAATTAGATAATAAAGTAACATATGTGTGACATTAGTAAAACTTAAATATTTTATCATACGCCTTTAGTACCGTCAAAAACCCTTAAAAATTTATTAATTGTTTGGTTTTAACACTAAACACAAATGTCACAATTAATCTACGACTTAGTTATCACTACGATAAATATAAACCAGCCGTTAGCAGCTAATGTGAGGTTAAATTTGATTGATTCTATTTACACACTTTTTGCTAACAAATGAAACTGAAATATAAATAGAATTAATAAATTAACGAAATAAATAAACATTTACGTAAAAATGCGAAAAGATAAAATACATAAATAAACTCATGTTAATATTAAACGAAAAAAAAGCAATTTAAAAAGAAAAATATTTCTGTGGCAACAAGGAAGAATAAACTATGTGGATTTTTGTATTATTAAAGTTTGAAATTTTCAAAATGGTGAACAGAATTTGTATAAGTGTTTTTAACATTACTTGAGTTAAGCATTTTATCCTTGTTACCACAATTCTAATAAAACCTGGTGAGGGGAAAGAAAAATTTGGAAAAAAGCTTTTAGGCCATAAGACCAGAGAATCACAAGTGTGTGTTTGTGTCAGTTAGTAAAAGGTCTTTTAGTCACATTACAACCTTTTTTTTTGTTTGTTACATGGACCGACAATTTACACTTGTAAAACATCATTTTGTCAGCTCATTTATTGCTCTAAATGTTTTGTTGGACTTTGAAATTTTTGTCATATTTGTTTGTATGTTTTTCTATACACATACACATACACATACATAATTGTGTGTTTACACAACAACAGCAACAACTATAAAACTCATTTGTATAAAACGTTAAACAAATGACATGCTCAAAATAGCAAATGAATTTTCTACATGTTTTACGAGGATCTAAACACAAAACTACAACAACAGCAACAACCCACCCGGCATAGGACCATATACTTTTACTATTTGGTCCCTCTCACTCCAAAATGCCAACTACACAGATATAAATTAAAATGTAGCAAAACCGTTGAAGAGCGCAGAGGGGAAAAATAGAAAACTAAATAAACTGACAATGACTAGGGAGAGATTTTTGGTTGGTGGTATATGTTTTTAGACAAAAACTAATAAAACGATACAACGTTTATAGCAAATATAAAATATCTATATTAAACTTAGTTTACATACATACATATACAATGTATATATCGGAAGATATTTAAGTACTCTACAAAAACTGTTAGTTAGTTTGAAAGAAGGATGTATATTACAGCAAATTCGCACAAATACTCGTAGCTTACAGTTGGGTCTTTTGTGATCTGCTTTGAAAAAGTCTCTGGTGAGAATCGAACTCACGACCTTTGGCTATAACACTATCAACTAAACTACAGGAGGTATCCTACGATAGGTGTTATAGTTAGTAAAACTTCCAGGAGAAACAAAACATATTGAAGTTGACATTTTACATATCAATGGATAGGAAATTGAGACTACATTTGACTAATTATTTTCGCGATTTAAGAACATTTTTCATTAAACCTAATTTCACATATAAAGGGACAATTTTAAAAATTTTCTTTCTTCCAATCATGGTAAATTTTATCAGTTTTATCAGATCAGTGATGCTTTCTAAACGATTCATTTCATTCCAGATGCTGTTACTCCATAAAAATATTATTGGATTTTTTATAGGAAAAAAACTAGAAGAAGACTTCATATATAGTGAAATCTTGTAAGTTATATTTTTGGACAATATATTTTACATAGTCGGAAAATCATATTGTACTAACGGATCACGAGGGTGAAAAGTATACAAAATCTTTTGTTAATTCTGCGTGGAAGTGAGAAGCCGATTTTGGATCCACCAAAAGGAGGAAGCAAGTTCTTTACAGGTCAAATACACTATTGGTGATGAATTATTTAGACAAATATACAAAAGTAGAACATACCAGACTCTGAAGCTGGTTATATTTGAATCTTTGTAAGAAAACCTAAAATATTTTTTATAAAATTCGACTAAGAAGTTTTATCAAAACATGTTACTTAAGCAAATTCTTCTTAACACACCATAAGTATTGTACATTCTTTAAGGAAAAATAAAATATTTAACGCACGCATTGTTATGTGTAAATGTTGTCATTATACAAACCCCAACAGTGTTATTAGTAGTTAATGTCTTTCTTTCAGATGGTATTATTATTCTCAAATGCATAACTATATAATTAACTTGAATTTGGCACGTATATACTTATGTACTAATTGTAAAACAGGAAGTTGCCACATAAGTGTCATTACAAATCTACCTTTTTAGAGAAGTAATCAATTGAAAGTAGCCCCGAACTGCTGGGATATTTGTATATAAATATATATCTATAAAAGCTTGTTTTTCTAACTAACTAAGTGAATATGTGTATGCATGCATACTATTTTAGCCATACAGTAAAAAGACATTTAAGACTTATAGTCTTGGCATTTTGTCGCTTGACTATTTCAAGTATTTTATATGTATATGTGATGGGGGTCTAGGCAGTGTCATTAATTAACTAAAATGGTCTTAAAAGCAAGCAATACATCATTAATAAACTTAACATGTTACAGATGGCACATGAATATGTACAACAGCAGCAGTAACAACAACAATAAACAACTTAGACACGCAAACACATTCTTACATTCATAATACAAACACCGATTATTGGCTTCCTACTAAGACAAATGCCTTAAAGTGTGTGTATGTACCTTCTAAAGTCATTTATTTTTTTGTTGTTTAAGGGTTGTAGAGGTAAATTTATGCCAAAGCGATGATCAGTCTTATTTGTATCCTTTTCTTGGCTTTTTGGCTTAATTTGTATAAAAAAGAATTTTATTGATAAACTTGTTTTTTAAAGAAGAACATTTTGCCCCCAAAAAAGACTTTTTAAAATAATAAATGCTTTTGTATACTGTCAACTCATATGTTATTGCTTTTTATTTTGGACAATTATATTTATTCTTTTGAGCTCAAAACTAATCGATTTCCAAGTTATCCTTTTTTGTACCCAGTTTTTCATTAAGTTACTCGATAGTGATATGACTAGAATAGCCTCTAGGCTGTTAGTTTAGTGTTTTTAATTTAAGGATTTTGCTTTGTAATGTTTAGTAGTGTGAGTATTGGGACAAGTCAAATATTTTAGTGACACATGCTAGGAAACATTAATATTAACTTGTTATGAGTTCTATTTTCTTTTTGCTTCTATTTAAAAAGTGCTTTGGATTAAATAAAATAAATGTGGAATAGTTAAGGATATTGTGAATTGATAAATTATGCAATTAAGGGTTAAAGGCCAAAAAGATAATAAGTTATGATTTAGTTTATGGTCTTAATTGGATCATTTAATAACAAATAACACTTTAATTAATGTTATGTAATTTATAATTAATGGCTAATGAAACTAGTATACTTGGTTTTAGTTTAAGGGATTTTAAATAAATAACTGGCCAA